GCGTTCCCGAGATGGGCCCTGGGCCGGCTTGATACTGAGCTGGCCAAGGAGGCGGCCATCGTAGAAGCATGGTGCTCCCAGGGGAGTGTGGTGGGCGCCAGCTCCAATGTTGAGGAGCTGGCTGGCCGCATGTGCGACGCCCTTACGAGGGTGTGCAATGCGGCCATGCCGCGGATCAGGCGGATCGACCGGCGTCGCCGGTCTGTGTATTGGTGGTCGCCCGAAATCGCACAGCTTCGGGCGACCTGTAATTGGCATAGACGGAGGTTTGTCCGGTGTCGCAGGAGGAATGGCCTGGACCCGGTTTTGGAGAGCGAGCTGCGGGCGGCCTACAGGTCAGCCAAAAAGGCCCTGCAGCTCGCCATCAGCCAGGCCAAGGCGGCGGCCCGCCAGGAAATACTGGCGGGCCTGGATCGGGATCCATGGGGGCGCCCTTACATCAGCGCGCGGAACAAGCTCCGCGCGCATGGCGCCCCGGTCACGGAGACCACGCCGCCCGAGGTCCTCCTGCGACTGATCGGAGGGTTGTTCCCGGAGTCGTCTGGGCACGTCCCCCCGGTGATGGCTCCTCCCACACGCTCTGTGGGAGTGGAGGAATTCCCCCCAATCACCGAGGGGGAGATGGAATTGGCCCGCGATAAACTGCGGGCCAAACGGACGGCTCCGGGACCGGACGGTATTCCGGGGCGAGTTCTGTGCATCGCCCTGGAATACCTGGGAGGGGATCTTCGGGACCTCTTCAACGCTTGTCTTCGCGTTGGGCAGTTCCCGAAGATCTGGAAGGAGGGGTTGCTGTGCCTGTTGCCCAAGGATGAGGATTGAGGGTCGTCCTCTGGACTCCCCTTCGGCATACAGGCCGATCGTGATGCTGAGTGAGATGGGCAAGCTCTTCGAGAGAATTCTCGTTGCCCGTCTTACTCAGCATCTCGAGGAGGTGGGGCCGGGCCTTTCGGAGGCTCAGTTCGGGTTCAGGGCGGGTCGGTCGACCGTGGACGCCCTGAACGCCCTGAAGGTTCGGTCCTTGGCCGCGGTGGAGGAGGGAGGCGTGCTGTTAGCCGTCTCATTGGATGTGGCCAACGCCTTCAACACCCTGCCGTTCGAGACGCTACGAGAGGCACTTCGGTACCATGGGGTGCCTCTCTATCTCCGGCGGGTGTTGGACGCGTACCTCCGCGACAGACAGGTTGTGTGGACGGGGGCAGATGGGGTGGTCGGTCGTCGACGTGTCGACTGCGGGGTTCCACAAGGGGCCGTTTTGGGCCCGGTACTGTGGAACCTCGGCTATGACTGGCTCCTGCGTTGTCCGCTTCTCCCCAGGCTTGGTGTCATCGCCTACGCTGATGACACCCTCGTCACAGCCCGGGGGCGTTCTTACGAGGAGGCGGCACGCTTGGCCACAGTCGGCACCAACCTGGTCGCCGACCGGATAGGGATGCTGGGCCTGAGGGTCTCCGTCTCCAAAACGGAGGCCCTCCTGTTTCATGGCCCACGCAGGGGTGCCCCCCGCAACGCCTGTCTGCGAGTCCAGGGTAGGATGGTGGAGGTTCGGGCCCATATGCGCTACTTGGGCTTGACCCTGGACGGACGCTGGACGTTTCGTGTCCATTTCGCCCAGCTCACCCCGAGACTGATCGGCGCCGCCTCGGCCCTCGGCAGACTTCTGCCGAATGTCGGGGGCCCTGGATCTCACTGCCGGCGGCTCTATGCCGGCATCGTGAGGTCCATGGCACTGTACGGTGCCCCCGTTTGGATGGACGCCCTCTCCGCACAGAACAGGGCCCAACTGCGCAAGGCGCAACGGGTCCTGGCGGTGAGGGCGATACGGGGATACCGTACGGTGTCCTTCACGGCGGCGACACTTCTGGCGGCGATCCGCCCTGGGAACTCCAGGCGGAGGTGCTCGCCGAAGTCTATCGGTTTCGGGCGAGTGAGCGGGCGCGAGGGGAACGTCCAGCGCGGGAGGGAGTCGCTCGGATCAGGCGCCTAGCTGACGAGGCATTGATCCGGCGCTGGTGGGAAGACCTGGGGACTCCAGCGGCTGGCCGGGCGACGGTGGGGGCGGTTCGTCCGTTCCTGTCTCGCTGGGTCAGGCGGCCACACGGCGTCCTGACGTTCAGGTTGACGCAGATGCTTACCGGGCACGGGTGCTTTGGTAAGTATCTGTGTCAAATTGCGCGTCGGGAACCGTTGCCCGTATGCCACGAGTGTGGTGCGTCCGAGGACACCTCGCACCACACCCTCGCGGTATGCGCCGCTTGGGCTCCCCAGCGCCATGCCCTGATGGCGGTAGTGGGTGGAGACCTGTCGTTGCGAAGCGTGGTGGGGGCCATGCTACGCGACGAGAGGTCCTGGTCGGCGATGGTCTCCTTCAGCGAGGCCGTCATCTCACTGAAGGAGACGGCGCAGAGGGAACGCGAGGCTAACGCCTTAGCAGACCCTCTTCGTCGCCGTCGGCTGGGGGAGAGGAGGCGCCGGTACGCGCATCTTCTCCCGCCACCCTAGAGGAGCTACTGCGGGGGGGTCTCTCGTTGACTCCCCTGCACGTCATCGGGGCGGTTGGGATGCCCTGCGAACCGAGGGCATCCTGATTTAGGCGAGGCAGGCCCGCGGGGTACGGGCCGTCCGCAGGGGTGTTGCAGTGAATGCGCAAGCGATCCTGCACACCCCATTGCACTGCGGCGACGGGTTCCGCTGTGGGTTTTAGTGAGTAGGAGTCTCACAGTACCCTACCCATTGACGGCCGGTAGGGTCCCCATGATGGGTTTCCCCAGCGATAACAAAAAAAAAAAAAAAAATAAAAGGGCTTGGAAATCCGTTTAATTTTTAAACCAGTTTTGGTCATTAACCCCAAATCGAAAGGCTTTCGGTTTAAGGTTTCGGTTTCGTTCTTTAACCGGTTAAATCCGGGAAAACGGTGCTTAGCGGATTTAGGTTCCATGAACAAAATTAACCCGTTAAAATGAGTTTTTGTGTGTTTACATTTGGCGCATCTTTGCTAATTAATGGTAAATGTCTTAGCACAAGGATGCATGCACGTTTCTTACTTATTAATGAATTAACCGGTTCATTTCGGTAACAAAACCGAAACCCAACGTTTCTCTAAGAATAATCGTTGACCATTATTTCGGTTTACTAAAACGTTCGTTTTCATTAAGCGGTTAAAGAACGGGCAATGAATTAACCATTACCGAAATAAACCGTTTTTTTTAAACCTGTCCCGAGTTCTGCAAACAAGGCATGCCAGAGATACTTCTTTTGCAGATATATGACATTATGATGAGGACAAAACATACTGAAGCCACACTACGATATGACCATTATTTTATTGTTTACAATAATTTTGGAATTTTTAATTAGAATCTCAAACTGGGTAACTATTGTACTTCCCATATTTACCTGGTTTGAGGTTTAAACTCGTCATTTCTGGCAAACAAAACGTACACACTGCGACAGTAATCAGTTAATTTATTAATTATTATTAAATTACTTCATAAAGTTATGTATAAGTAAGTACCTTCGGATATCTATTATATTTAAATTGCGGGTGACATATGCACGGACGAGGCGGTGGTATTTTATAACTCGCGTGGGAAGAAATTTCACTCCTTGGAGTTGAAGGCGTCTCATAACCTATATACATACATATGAACAACATATATAAAGACACAACTGCTAATAATAATTAATTATTTGATAAGTAACTAAAAAAATATTGATTGAATAAAAAAACCTTTAAAATTATTTAACCGCCGCAATGTTCTCTTCATTTTTTTTCTCATTCTCTTCTCCCATGCAATTTCCGCAACTATGGAATAATAGTCAAGCACAATTAGCTAAAGCACATCATTTAGTATTACTTTCAGACTTCTTGTGTAAGTTAGGTTATATTATTAAGTAAAACTTTATAATTCAAAACTATACTCTTGACGGTTTGTGGATCTTTTTTATATTTTGGCATGCAAGTTACGTCATGTAGTAAAACTTTGCACTTTGTTTTTTAACCGCCACAGTTTAATTAAGTATCCATTTTATACAACGAGTGACTAGTGAACGTTTATCTTCACTTTCAGCTAAACATAATTAAAATATTCGGTTAGAACACCCTTAAATCTGATAATTTATAAGTAATAATTTCATATCAATATAAAAAATCATATTGTGATGATGATGATATCCTCCAGTCCGATTTCAGCCACGGCGGCCAATCTTGCTGAGATTAGCCAGATGCGCAGGAGATATTATAGTGCTGAAGTGTTCACACTGACACCCGTGCACTCTTTATTCTTATCCGAGGCACGAGAGTAAAACACCGCCAACTTCCCAACTCGGGGCTATTACTGGCACTCTCGTCGAAAAGACTCAATATCTATACTTAGTAAGACCCAGGACTCGAACCTGAGGCAGTAAAAGAAATACGTGTGCTAAAACATTAATACTGAAAATAAAATGTTGAAATACCAAAACAATATAAACTTAACACTTATAATTTTAAATGACATAAATAATGCATGAAGGCACGTATAATGCATAGGTCATAGTGAATCAACAACGAATGAAACCAGTCTTATTATATTAATTATGCCGAAATAATCGTAAATATTTAATTACTTGATTGAGAACAGTGATGAGTTAAAACTTATTTCTTCGTATTATCTTATATAATGCTTGTCCTCCGATTATGATGAAACTCTGGCGCGCTATTCTGTATACGCCTGCGAAAGTTCCTGGCCTAATAGAATGATTTTTCTTTAGGCGTTTGTTTTTTGTGCGTTCCTAAACCATATAAGCTGAGGGACGCACCTGAGCGAAGCGAGGCTTAGTCGCTAATATGTATTAAAAATTAAATACTATTTAAGCAATCACTTATTAATAGTTTCTTACGGTAAATTACCAGGAAAATTAAAAAAAATGACGTTTTTATAAATTCAAAAGTCCCAAACAAGAAACTTAATATTTTAGCCAGATAGCATGTTGGGCTAGTTAGTTTGAAATAATTATTATATTATGTAATTACGAATTCGCTCCTTTTCCATTATTTTAAACTCGAACAATTCGTAAGCTTCTTTAAATAGATCTGCAATATCTTTCTTAACATCAGTTACAGGAATGTCCATGGCTCGTTCGACAGCTTTCCTTAATTCGATATAAGCTGTGTCATAGTTCAAGTCACTATCATCATATCGAAGAAATATTGCCTTATCGACAGTGTTAGATACCAAACTAAATAGGGTTTCGGACACAGTTGGCACTGGAGTTGGTACAGGTTCTGCAATTACAATTAAATACAGTATATTATAAAAGTGGCAACATAATTACTGTAATTGCATTTATATTACCTACTACTAGTTTTTGCCCGCGGCTTCGCTTGCGTGATAAGCGGGGCGGGGCTTCAAAGGTAGCGCATGATCGATCCCAGGATACAGTCTATGTCCATACCAATCTTTAACAAAATCTGTTCAGAGACAGAGTGTAGATAGGTACGTTTTATATACTTAGATATGCTGAGTTGTTGTGGGTTGTATTATAACGTATTTTCCCGTGGGAATGAAATAATCTCCCGCGGTAAAAAGTTCTCGCTCACTTTGTTTCGACGTGAAAGAAGGAGAAATAAACAAATACATTTACACATTTATAATGTTAGTATGGATGTACGGAATATTAATTATATTATGTTATGTATGGTGTTGAAATATTATAGTAATCTGCGTATATTGACTATAGTTATTCTATTATATTTGCTTTCATTAATTACACGCATTTATTAATTTTTGGCACCGTACTGTGACTGAGTGATGAAAGAAAAAAAATGAATGAATAAAGGATAAGGAACCAAAAATGTTTTTTACTCTGTAATAAAAGTTACATATAGACACTATTCCCGTTTTTATTTATAAGTAACAAGTATAAATTCTTATTTGGTTATTACAGTTACAGTTATACCACAGCTGGGCAAAAACCTTTCCTCTATGTTTCCATGTTTTGCAGTCTTGCGCATATATACACCAAATGTTTTGCCAAAAAATAATTATAAATAATTCACAATAGTAATAAAAATATACCTGGTGTAGACAATGTAGTTTCTGATGTTCTAATGGACAAAAATGATGATGACTCCGTATTAATTGTTGAGGCAGACGGAGAAGGATATCTCGGAGGTTCAGTTTGGTAGTGAATATTTATAAGCGCTCTTATATCATCTTTTAACTCTTTATCCGTGTATAAAGGTGTATTGGAGTAGCCCTCAAAATTATTTGTGGCCTAGAATATATTTGAAAATGTTTCAATTTCAATCGTTTATTCTTCTAAAACAAAGTATAAAAATATTTAAAACACTCAATATAAAACATTCACTTGACATACTACATACTTTAGCACTCTTTGAATATTTCTGGTACATATCAATTTTAATTAAGCTTACTTGCAGACAAAAATATGCATTGATGATGTGCAATGCAATTAGTAACGGCAGAAGCTCCGTTTGGTATCTGATTCCATTTAAATAAAAGTTAAATCTCCAATTTTTCCGCACCTTCCTTAAGGTGTGAACCTATCGGTTAATTATATCTTTTTCGTATAAGAGCACTTCATTTTTAAAGTGTCGGAAACTTTTCATTCAACCACCATTGATTTAGCCTTTCTAGCATTTTTTTTTACCTGTTCTTTCGGACTCCGGGACAAATAAAGTCGTTCATTTATTTCTTGTTCGATTTCTTCAGTCGATCTGGTAAAATATTCTGCTGCCTCTTTTAAAATGCCCTTTCTCTTATTTTTCTCCACCATGTTGCTAATAAATATTTCAAGCATTGCTGTTACCTAATTATAATATTTTTCAGTATAATTATATTAATTATATATAATATGTACATGAGGAGGATTTAAGAAATTCTAGCTTTAAGAAGACTATCTATTAGGCTTATTATTATGATTTGCATCTGTTCGGATTTCTCGGGCTCGAAGGAGCCCGTTTATTTGGAAGGCTTACGTGGGGACACAGGTCCAAAAAAAATTAATAAGTATAATGCAGGAGATATTATAGTGCACAAGTATGTGTGCAAAACGCGGTATACGCTATCCACTAGAATACAGATCAGTATATACATAGTATAATAAATTCCAGTTACAGCAAAAGAAATGATTGAAGAAAAGAAAAGAAACTTGCAAATTTTAAAATTAAAAAAAAATACACTACATGATTGATTGACTTTGTCAAATTTATTAATATTGTTAGAAGTTTGGAAAGTACATATTCTTAAATGGACAAGATCGATAAAGCGTGTCATTTACTTTTAGCAAGCCATCTAATTATAATCAGATCATAACATCTCTTGAAACCTTATGGTCCGAAAACCATTTTACATTAAAATTTGCAAAATTTTGACTTTTAAGTTTCTTTTTCTTTTTATATTACCGGACATAAATGATAAAATGCTAACATGGTTATTATTTATCTGTAAGAAGATTGGTCCAAATAGATTACAGTGGTAATGTTTCGAATATGGCGTTAATATTAAATGTAATAATGTTTTAATTGTAAAAAACAAACACATATGTACATATAATTTCATTTAATTACTAATAATTACCAACTACTATTAATGGACTTTGTTGTTTTTTACCAGAGAAAATTCATGTCAAATATAGCACCAAGGGCATCTAATAACAGTACATAGGAAATAGACAATGCTACAAGGCTGTCTTTTTCAATAGGACTAGGAGCAATATTTACATGAATAAATAGTCAGACTCTTAAATACGGACAAGATTCAACGTAAATAAAAGCCGGTGATAGATATTATAAAAGTGACTATTGTAGACGATTACACGTCATATTTTGTGTAGTTTATCAATTAATTAAGTTACCACATTTATGATAAGTGCAATGAAACTGATTGAACGTGGAATCAATAAAGAACGATATTAGAAATCTATGATTGAAGATAAAACTCTATGAAGACGTAAAAAAAAGAATTAACTATAAAATATTGCCCATTGGAATTACAAGAGACAAACTTATTCACGAAACCTTCAAACAAGATTAAGTAAGGTGTTTGCAGATGGCTCCTACGTACAACTAAGCGGGTAGTGCGGTGTTCTTTTTCTAATAAACTAAAAATAATTTCAAAGCAATTCATAGAATGAAATATTAAAACACTAAGTCGGAATAAAATTACTTACTTAACATAGCATTTTTGAATTGAGTGCCTACAAACTACAATGTCTTGATAAAAACCGATATCGATTAAAAGTACTTTATATTTCCGTTCGATATTTTGTTAAATTTCGTATTTACTTGTAGATATTAAAAAATATTGACAGATACTTTCATGTTATTTATACGAAGATATTCAAAAATCTTAAAATATATGAACCTCAGGGTGCCGCAACAAATAATTTTCCTGTTCTATTTGTAAAGTTTTTCCAAGTCTGTTAATACACTCTTCTTGACAACAAGTTACGGCATCTTTATCTCGGGACAACAAGCCTTCAGCTGGTAATCTGTCTGGAGGAACGCCTTTCATTAACTTTTTTAAAGACATCTTCAATTGGTTGTTAAATAATTGCGTTTGTAGCACAATTTAAGATAGATATTAAAATATAATATAATTCTTTTCTTCCCTTCTAGAAATATAATCCTTTTATCAAATTAATTAAATTTTTATTGCTTTCGCTCATCCGTCATAAAAGTTATTATCATTTTGTTTTTAATATAATATTGTGTTGATGTTGTTGACATTTAGAGTTATTTTTTTTGTAACAATATATTTTGCAACAAGGAGTTTTCATATGTTAACATACAATCAAACAAACAAAACTCTTATAATACATTATTCTAAATTACAGTAAGTTTGTGGCAATAAAAGTTGTTTGCTGACTTAGTAAGCAAATTGGTTTTATATCACAAATCCCCGTACCATTATTTGTAGCTCAAATCCTGTATGATATATTTTTTACAATAAGCCACCCAGAGCTTTTATACCCCATGATGTTTGTTTAAGGGGAATATTCATGCGTCTACGATAAAAAATGGACATATTTGTGATTGGCTAAATATTTGCAATTAAGAAGATTGATCTAGTTCTACTTTAATTTGCATTTGCCGTCCTTCTAATAAATATTGAGCTTAATTTTATATATTTTTGGTTTAACATATTTAATAAGTTATTATTGTGAATTATTAAATTAACTTAAGCAAGTTAAGGTTTCCGTGAAGCAAAAGCGGCTCGCTTGCAGTTTCAAGTACAAACAAGGTTTCTTCGAGTTTAGATATCGATTAATAGCTATATTAAATACTAGCGACTCACGCTTGCTCCGCTTGATTTAGTCCCTAGTTACGTTTTAACGTTTCATATAGATTTCTCGGCAATAAAAAGTATCCTTTATGTTGACCCGGATAACCAGCTATCATTATGCCATATCAAAATCTGTCCAGTGGTTTTTTCTTGATGTATTCCCAGATAGACAGACAGTAATAAAAATCCTAAAAACTATAGATTCCTTATCGACAATAAAAAATAATAATGTACAGATTCGACACAGAATTTCATCAAATTTTAAGCTAAATAATTCGATACAATAATAAAGCTAATGTAGCTAGACAATGTTAGCAAGATAGAAACAGAGATAATTACCTACATTATTCATTTTTTAACATTGACATTATCAATAATACGCCTAGCATAGAATTTTTTAACATTGATATTAGCAATAATACGCTTAGCATAGTTTTAGCCAGATTGGGATAATTTTGTATGAACCTTTAATTCAAGCCCACGCGAGAAACGCATCTACGATCATCCAGGCATCTCGGTTTATATTGCCACAGTACGACTAGTATATGTATATTAGATATCTAGAAATTATCGTTTATATCTACCTAGGTACTTTTTTGATCCAGAGTGACGTTTACGGATCCCTCCGCAGGTTCATTGGCCACAATATCGTTTTTATTTTTTGCTATAAAAGTTATAAAAAGCTAGAATGAAAATGTCAGCATTAAATTACCTTGATATTCTACAGAATACCAATGTTTAATACATTGCCGGTAACATAACATACTCGTATATCTATGGTATTTTCTTTAAATAAATTTAAAAATCAATTTTAAGTATTATTATTCTTAATAATTTTTTACGTTTCATTGTATTGAACTAAAAAAAGTTAATAAAGACTATAATTACTAACTGTAACCAATAACAACCGTAGTGCATTTTGAAAGCTGCAATTCATATCTGCCAAAACTTTCCATAGTAATAACAACTTTACAACTTACACTGCCCGAGTTTTAGGCTGTTTAAATTATGAGAGAGCGGAAATACCTCTTCCACTTTAATTTAAATTGTATGAATTTTATTTCTTTCTATAATAGAAATAATTATTATTCGTCATCAATTAATTGGAAAATAATAAATCTAATTAATCAATTAATATATATATATATATATATATATATATATATATATATATATATATATATATATATATATTAATTGATTAATTATATATATATATATATATATATATATATAACTTATATTTATTTATTACACGTGTCATTAGTCCTTTTTGATCTTAAGTTATCATAATATGCTCCATATGATATAAATTATTATGCAGCTTACAACTTTTGTGGAAGTTTAAATAAAGGAGCAGAGAGGATGCTTTGTATATTAGTATTGTATTGTATTCTCTTTAACGTCCCACTGCTGGGTATGGGCCTCCCTTCAGTACGATTCAGTACGAGGGGAATCAGGCCATAGTCCACCATGCTGGACAAGTGCGGGTTGGCGGACTTCACATGTCCTTTGAAAACTTGCTAGGTTTTCTCAGACATGTAGGTTTCCTCACAATCTTTTCCTTCACCGTTAAGATAAGTGGTAATCATGTTGGAAGTGATTCGCACATGAAAATATCAGAGGTGCCAGACCCGGCATTTGAACTCGCTTCACTCGGTTTCCCAAGCGAGCGCGTTACCACTGGGCTACCACTGCCTTTTGTATATTAGTGTTTGTTGATAAACACATTTTTGACAGATTAATATACAACAGTTATATTTTGAAAGTTAAATCTAGAAATGTATTTGCTCGGCTTGCTATTTATAGTCAGGTCAAATAAGCCAAAAAAAGTATCAACTACAATTATCTCCCCAAAAAAAATCACGCCAATCTGTCACTCCGTTTTGACGTGAAAGAAGTGCCCTTTTTTCACGTCAACAAACAAACAAACACACTTTCACATTTATAATATTAAGTATAAATGTGTATACCTATGCAATCCCAGAATCTGTGTACAACGTATTGATTTGAATAGGAAATGTGAGCTTTGAGCTCAGAAATGAGTATAAGTTAGACTTAATAGGAATCACACAATTATTAGAATTATTCTAGATCTTTCTGTAAAGTATCATAAGTAGCTCTTGTTATGATTTGGCAACTTATTCTTAAGCATGGTTCTAGTAAGCTTGAACTCTAGTGAACTTGACTCTAAAGCAAGTTGATTTTCTATCCTTGATGTTGGATAAATTTTTTTAAAAAAATTAAAGGAAACGTACATCCGCCCGCGTAGGTTATGTTGAATTATGATTTATTTATATAAGAACCCCTATTTTTCCAGATTAAATATATATATATATATATATATATAATATATATATATATATATATATATATATATATATATATATTTCTTTTGGCACGATAAGAAAAATATATGAGAGTAAAATTTTTACGATGCAAGCGCACACCGTCAGCCTAAAAGCAACATGATGAAGTTAGCTGCATTTCTTTTTAAAAACAGAGAGTTGTGACATACGAGATGAAATCTTTAGCTATTTTTGTTGCACACACACGTGTATTTTAAAACAGTAAAACAAATTAACAAGCACGATACCAGGAGTCACCAAAAATTTGCTCCAGGCTATTTTTAAATAAATTTTGTTTAAATAGATTTTTTTAAAGTACAACTCTCTCTTTCTCTCTTTTCCTGCGACAACTCAGCATCATTCAGGCTAGTAAAAGAAAGACAGAAAGTAAAAGACTTGTAGAAAATGCTATCATACGGTTGGCAGGCCTTTTTCGAATCCACATTACTTGACATCCAGGTATAAACATGTAAATTGAAGTAGTTAATTGCTCATATCGGATCATATTTTCCGGAACCAACCAAGTATCAAAGCGTAGATAATTTCATTACAAATTTAATAATAAAGGATTGTTATACCAAAATCTTTACATAAAAAACTCACTTCAATACAAGAACCTTCTGGTCTGGAGATGTCCAGACTAGAAGTTTTTTAATAAAGAATAGATTGGAGTCAATTTTTGGTGACATCCCCCTTGAGTCGTGTTTGTTAATATGTTTTATCGTTTAAAAATATATTTCGCCTGGAGTGGAGAGTGAGGGGTCCACCACATAGATCGCAATCTTAGACTATCGCTTTTGCTGATACATAGGTATATTGAGATTCAAGAAAGTATTTATTTGATATAGTAATATCGGCAATTTTCACATAGAAAGGTCGTTTTATGTTTTCAATGAACAAAAGGCATGAATAAATCAAAAAGTAATTCCTAGAACGTGTGCATAATAAATTAAAACTTGCGTTCTGCGTATTTTGTAATCATAGGTATAGGTATAAATAAATCTAAGCAGAAATAAAACTGCAGCTTCATTTTCACAAGATGAAGGTAGTTTTATAAAAATAATACATCCAGGAAACGCCTAAATTAGAATGGAACGGTGTAGATTCGTTGCAGTACACAGAAATGTAGGATGTCCTGTTTTTTTTTCTTGTAGTTTTGCTCTTACTGTTTCTCTAGAACGTGCGTACTGGACGGATACGATTACGATTATATGAGTGTGAAATCAGTATAAATAACATTATGCATACTTTACTAACTAGCATAACTAGCGGTGTCGATCCAATTACTCGAATATTGCTCTGTTGTCGAACAGTCCCCTACTTAGTTACAATTTATTATTCACCCCTTGCGCAGCGGAAAGGTGGTACGGGTACTTAGCAAAGAGTTGGGATTATGACTGCGGAAATTGAAAAAGAATATTAGCATAAGTTATCTAAGTATTATTTAAAATGTCTATACTTACAAACAAACAACCTATAATAATAATATAAAGCTGACGAGATGGCTTTTTTGTTGGTGTGAAACCTATAATACCATACCATAGACATGTACGAATATGTGACTAAAATCAGACTTGAAAAATCCTTCTTTCAATTTATAACGCAACTATTAAGGAAGGTTAGGGTATTAAAAATCACTCTATGATTTATTGCAAAGCTTATATAACGATGGTTTTTATAAATACATACATTAAGGTATATTGAGATTGTTTTTCACAACAAACTACTATGCAGACAATATATTTGAGCTTTCTGTATTAAGCTTTGCACTTGACGGAATGCTTTGCCTCACCAAAACAAATAGAAAAAGTTCACGTTCAAAATGTTATGTGCATTTAAGTACGTACAAGTTTGTTTTGCTAGAGTTTATAGAGGTATTAT